AGTATCCATTGCCACGAATTGATGATCTGTTTGATCAGTTGCAAGGGGCAAAGGTGTTTTCTAAGATTGATTTGAGGTCAGGATATCACCAGTTGAAGGTAAAGGATAGTGATATTTCGAAAACTGCTTTTCGAACTCGATATGGTCATTATGAGTTTTTGGTAATGCCTTTTGGGTTAACCAATGCTCCAGCGGTGTTTATGGATTTAATGAATCGAGTATTTCATCGGTACGTTGATTCTTTTGTTATTGTCTTCATCGATGATATTTTGATATATTCTCGGAGTGTGAATGAACATGAAAAGCATTTAAGAATTGTGTTACAGATGTTACGGGAAAAACAACTCTTTGCTAAGTTCAGCAAATGTGAGTTTTGGCTTGATAAAGTTGTCTTTTTGGGGCATGTAGTATCTGGGGATGGTATTTATGTTGACCCATCAAAAGTGGAAGCAGTGGTGAAATGGGAAAGGCCTACCAATGTGACAGAAGTCAGAAGTTTTCTGGGATTAGCAGGTTATTACCGGAGGTTCATCCAAGGGTTTTCTAGTATCGCATTGCCATTGACAAAGTTGACCCGGAAAGAAGTAAAGTTTGTGTGGGGTGAGGAATGCCAAAGAAGTTTTGAAGAATTGAAGAAAAAGTTAACGTCAGCCCCAGTGTTAACTATTCCGTGTGGTGGTGAGGGTTTTGTGATTTACACTGATGCTTCACATCAGGGTCTGGGATGTGTTTTGATGCAAAATGGTAAAGTAATTGCCTATGCTTCTAGACAATTGAAGAATCATGAATTGAATTATCCTACACATGATTTGGAGTTAGCTGCTATTGTTTTTGCTTTAAAATTGTGGAGGCATTATCTGTATGGTGAACTTTGTGAAATATTTACAGATCATCAGAGTTTGAAGTATTTGTTTACACAGAAGGATTTAAATTTGAGACAGAGGCGTTGGATGGAGTTAATCAAAGATTATGATTGTAATATCCACCATCATCCTGGAAAAGCCAATGTAGTAGCAGATGCCTTGAGTAGGAAGTCTTCAGGGAGACTATCTTGTGTACAGTGTGCACGGGTGGCAAATATTATGGAATTGAGACTGATGGGAGTTGAATTGACAGTTACTAACAAAGGAGCATTGTTTGCACATGTTACGGTGAGACCTTTGTTGCTGGATAGAATTAAAGAGCTGCAAATACATGACGTATTCCTGGATAAGAAAAGAAAAGAAGCTCAAGAGGGTATGCAAACTGAATTTATAGTTAGGGATGATGGGATTTTGTATTTTAAAAGTCGAATTTGTGTTCCAAATGATGTTTCCTTGAAGAAAGATATTTTAGATGAAGCCCACAGTTCTATATATGCTATGCATCCGGGGAGTACTAAAATGTACAGGGATTTGAAAGAATACTATTGGTGGAACAATATGAAGCGTGAAATTGCAGAATTTGTAGCAAAGTGTTTGATATGTCAACGAGTGAAAGCTGAACATCAGAAACCAGCAGGGTTGTTGCAGCCGTTACCAGTTCCACAGTGGAAATGGGAGCATGTAACCATGGATTTTGTGACGGGACTTCCAAGATCAAAACGAGGACATGACTCTATTTGGGTGATAGTTGATCGATTGACGAAATCAGCTCACTTTCTGGCAGTGAAAACTACTTATTCTACAAAGGAATATGCTCGTTTGTATGTTGATGTGATCATATGTTTGCATGGGGCTCCAGTTTCTATTGTTTGTGACAGAGATCCGAAGTTCACTTCGAGATTTTGGTATAGTTTGCATGAAGCCATGAAAACTTCTTTGAAGTTCAGTACAGCTTTTCACCCGCAGACAGATGGGCAGTCAGAACGAACTATTCAGATTTTGGAAGATATGTTGAGAGCTTGTGTGTTGGATTTCAAAGGTAATTGGGATGATTATTTACCGTTGATTGAATTTGCCTATAATAATAGTTATCAGTCTACTATTGGAATGGCACCGTATGAAGCTTTGTATGGGAGAAAATGTAGAACTCCATTGTGTTGGGATGAGGTGGGGGAAAGAAAGTTATTGGGTCCAGAATTGATTGAACTTACAACAGAAAAAGTGAAGATAATTCAGCAGCGTATGAAAGTGGCACAGGATAGACAGAAAAGTTATGTAGATGTGCGAAAAAGAAGAGATTTGGAATTTGAAGTTGGTGATTTTGTTTTTCTTCGTATTTCTCCTTGGAAAGGTATTATGAGGTTTGGAAAGAAAGGTAAGTTAAGTCCCAGATACATTGGACCTTACAAGATTCTGGAACGAATAGGAGCAGTGGCGTATCGGTTGGAATTACCAAAAGAATTATCAAGATTGCATGATGTTTTCCATGTGTCTATGCTTCGAAAGTATATATCGGATCCATCTCATGTTTTAGTTGCAGAACCGATAGCGTTGAAGGAAGATTTGACTTATGTAGAGGAACCGGTACAGATTGTGGATCGCCGGGAGCAAGTGCTACAGAATAAAACTATATCACTGGTAAAAGTATTGTGGAGGGGTCATACGATTGAAGAAGCGACTTGGGAAAGTGAAGAAGTTATGCGAATGCAATATCCTCACTTATTTGGTATGTTTCTTGCATTTTAATTTCGAGGACGAAATTACTTAAGGGGGGAAGAATTGTAAGGCCCCAATACATAATTATTTTTTTATTAGCATAATTTAATTTTTATTAGACATCATTTATGGAATATTTTATGTAGTAGTTTGTATGGTGAAGTTAATAGTTGGTGTCAAAACTTATTAAGTTGGTGACAGCCAATGGTAAGAAAATAAATAATAAAAATGATAATATTCCATGTGTACGTGTGTGTGGTTATATGTGTGATACTAGAGAATGGGTGTCTACTAAGGTCATTGGTGCTGAAGGTAATAAATGGTGGAAGTGGTGTGATGGTTCTAATATATATTGATATACTTATGTTTTATTTTAAAGTTTGACCAAGTAGTTATTTATATATATGGGTAAGTTATTGACCAGGTCAAGTACATATTCCACCCACCCATGTATATAGATATCTAGTAATACACTTTATTCTAAAAGCTTCCAAAGGAGGCTGTTACTAATTGACACACACACGCATGAGTCATGAAGAGGGGAAAATCACATTTATATCTAAGTGACACGTTGTCTAGAGATTTGCATGGACAAGAAAAAGAAAACAAATAATAAAAATACAAATAGAAACAAAGGAGGGATTTTTCAGCCGTAGAAGAAGAAAATATTATTAAACTTTGGGTAACACATGTCACATAAGCTATGTGACAATTTACATTTCCTGGAGACTAGATTTACACCATCCATGTGACTATATACTTTTCAAGACTAAAGTTATTATGCTTTAAAGTGGTGGCTGGTGGCTGCAATATATAGTTGTATATATATATAGGTTTCAATTATCATTTATATGGATAGAGATGAGTAAAGTCAGGTTGCTGGCTGCACAAGGCTGGACCGAACACACAGGACACGCAATTATGTAGATATACTCTATATATAGATAAGGTTAATTCTATCTTTTTAAACCTGTTTGGACCGCCTTTGAGAAAGCCATTGTTTTGGTTGAGACACACAAAATATATCAAAACAGTGAGCTATTTAGTGATAGTTCAAAGAGAGAAGAAAAATACGGAGGAGGAGGATAGAAAAGAAAAAAAGGGGTTTTCTCTCTAAATTGTTGTTGAATTCAAGCAAAGGTGAGGGGTTTTATATTATAATTTCTATGTTGGAAGTTGATTATTCAGTTATTTGAATAATTAATCCAATTAATTGTTCCAGTATATGTATCATCTATTTTTTTTTATATTTTATTTATTTATTCAAAGGCTGTTTTGTGTAAGTGATACCATGGTTATGGTTATTTTCTTTGGGGTCATCAAGCTGGAAATTTATATAAAGACATGTGATTAGAATTTAGCCAAAAGGGTGTATAAAGTTTGAGAATTGTAATTGAGGTGATGATTGTGATTTAATTCTCTTTAGAAAATAAATATAACTTGGTTATATTCTTGTCCAGGCAAGGAGAATGAACTGATCACTTCAGCAATATCAAAGGATAAGTAGACAATTTGAAAAGTAGCCAAGGTGAGTGTACTCACTGGAAGTTTATACCTGGATGTGTTTAATTGAAGTATTGAAGTTGTTTATGTGAGTTGAAGATGAATATATATAATTTGATTATATTTAAATAGGGTCCATACTCTGGCCTGGAAGGAGAGTAATATATTATATAAGGTCCATACTCTGGCCTGGAAAGAGAGTACTACACTAAATAAGGTCCATACTCTGGCCAAGAAAGAGAGTACTATATCTAAACAAGGTCCATACTCTGGCCTAGAAGGAGAGTACTATATTTTAATGCCTGTAATATATTAATGAAGTTTAATTGAAGTTATCAGATAATATTTGTTTATATTACTCTGATGTAGTAGTGTTGCATTCACTGGGCTTTAAGCTCACTCCTTCCATATCTATATTTTTTTCAGGTACAAGGTTGGGTCGCTACTGCCAGGTCTAGAATTTTTGAGTGGGAATGGGAAAAAGAACAATGGAACGTCTTTTGTTTAAAATGTAAATATTGTAATAGAATTTAATAGTATAAGTTGCCGTTAATGTTTTTTTTGTTTGTCAGAATTTGCATAACAGGCCTATAGGTAGTTTTTGAATTGTAAACTGTTAAACAGGTGCTCTGATGTAGGATGACGTTATATTTGAAGGAGGTTAATGCAGATGGTTAGATGCATTCCAATTTATTCAATTTGTTTAATAATGTAAATTGGGTTGGGGTGTGTCAACTTTTGGTATCAGAGCCTAGGTTTTCTAGGTTCTGGAGGTCAGAAGAGTCTAGACTGGCAGTGGCAGTAAGAAGTGTGTAGTAGTGTCATTTATTTGACTTAATGTTATACTAACAGATATAAGTGGTGATTATGTATCATATATATGTTGTTATATTTGAGATTCATTGCAGATAAAAAGAAATGGAAAGGGAAAGTGGTTATCATGGAACTGAGGGTGAAGCCACTTATGTTCCTGTTGAGGCTGAAGTAGAACAACCTATGCAGGGTGGTATGAGAAGAGAACAGGAGTGCTTAACTGGTATGCAGAAAATGGAAAAGGCTATAATAGACTTGGCAGAACAAAACAAACTATTTATGGCGAGTCAAATGATGATACAAGAAAGGCTGGAAAGACAACAGAAATGGAAGAAAGGCTCTGAGTATGAGAGGTTTATCAAGTTAACACCCCCAGAATTTTCAGGTACTACCAAACCAGAAGAAGCAGAGGGGTGGGTAAGAAGAATGGAATCGATATTTGCAGTGATGGGTGCAGCAGAAGACCAGAAGGTAAACTTAGCTACATTTATGTTCAAAAATGAAGCTAGTTATTGGTGGGACACGACAAAACATTTGTTGCTCACTCCAGGAGAGAAAGAGGTGATATTCTGGAATCCATTTGTTAAAGCTTTTTATGAGAAATATTTCCCCCCAATTTACAGAAAAGAGAAGGAACGGGAGTTTATTCTCCTAAAACAAGATAGAATGTCTGTGGTTGACTATGAAGTTAAGTTTACAGCTTTATCGAGGTTCGCACCCAAGTTTGTACAGAATGAAGAAGATAAATGTACAAAATTCCAGGATGGTTTAGAGGCGGCTATTAAGTCTAGAGTTTCAGTGTTTGAGGAAACAGATTACAACAGACTTGTGAATAAAGCCATGATTGCCGAAAGGGATGTGAAAGAATTGCAAGAAAGAAGGGAACAATACAAAAGAAATAGATCTGAGCCGTCACAGTCAAGAGGAGGTGAAGGAATTGCAAGTCAGAAAAGTCAAAGGTCGCGGTATGGAAGGGGAAGGGGTGGTGAATCTCAAGGCCAGACATCAAGTATTGGAAGAGGTCAAGGGTTTTCCGAACAACAATCTGTTCAACAAGGTAGTTTTGGAGGACGTGGTACTGGCAGGGGGTGTTTTCAGTGCGGAAAGGAAGGTCACCAGAAGAAGGATTGTCCTATCTTGAAAGCAGAAGAGTGCTATCATTGCCATCAACCGGGTCATCGGAGGAGAGATTGTCCTATGTTGACAGGAATGACCTCAGTGGGCAGTGTTGCTGGTTCTGGTAGAGGTTTTGCACAGGGGAACTCGTCAAGAGGAGGTAAGGGTGTTACAAGTGGTTCGCAAGCCCAGGGAAGAGTGTTTGCTATGACACTTCAGGATGCTCAAGCAACACCAGAAGTGGTGACAGGTACACTTTCTATTTTGGATAGAAATGTTACTGTGCTTATTGATCCTGGCTCAACCCATTCATTTGTTGCATCATCTATTGCTATGCATTTGGGTAGACCATTTTCATCATTAGATAGTAAATTGTTTATTTCTACACCAATGGGAGAAGTGGTAGTGGTTGCAAATGAATACCGGGATTGTGTGTTACAATTGGGAGATAGACAGTTAAAGGTAAATTTGATACCGTTGGGTATACCAGATTTTGATATCATTTTGGGTATGAATTGGCTATCTGCGTATCACGCTTCAATAGACTGTTTTCGGAAAGAAGTTGTTTTTCAGATACCAGGGGAGCCAGAATTTAGATTTACAGGAGAAAGAAATGTTATTCCAAACTGTCTCATTTCAGCTATACAAACCAGGAAGTTGTTGAAGAAAGGGTGTCAGGGTTACTTGGCTTATGTGGTTGATACTGAAAATAAAGATATGACACTTGAAAATGTACCAGTGGTAAGGGAATTCACAGATGTGTTTCCAGAAGAATTACCAGGGTTGCCAGTGGACAGGGAGGTAGATTTTACCATTGAGTTAGTACCAGGAACAACTCCAATTTCTATTGCTCCGTATCGAATGGCACCGACAGAATTGAAAGAGTTGAAGATACAGTTGCAAGATTTACTAGATAAAGGCTTTATTCAACCTAGTATTTCACCGTGGGGTGCACCGGTGTTATTTGTTAAGAAGAAGGATGGTACTATGCGGTTGTGTATTGACTACAGACAGTTAAATAAAGTGACCATCAGAAATAAGTATCCATTGCCACGAATTGATGATCTGTTTGATCAGTTGCAAGGGGCAAAGGTGTTTTCTAAGATTGATTTGAGGTCAGGATATCACCAGTTGAAGGTAAAGGATAGTGATATTTCGAAAACTGCTTTTCGAACTCGATATGGTCATTATGAGTTTTTGGTAATGCCTTTTGGGTTAACCAATGCTCCAGCGGTGTTTATGGATTTAATGAATCGAGTATTTCATCGGTACGTTGATTCTTTTGTTATTGTCTTCATCGATGATATTTTGATATATTCTCGGAGTGTGAATGAACATGAAAAGCATTTAAGAATTGTGTTACAGATGTTACGGGAAAAACAACTCTTTGCTAAGTTCAGCAAATGTGAGTTTTGGCTTGATAAAGTTGTCTTTTTGGGGCATGTAGTATCTGGGGATGGTATTTATGTTGACCCATCAAAAGTGGAAGCAGTGGTGAAATGGGAAAGGCCTACCAATGTGACAGAAGTCAGAAGTTTTCTGGGATTAGCAGGTTATTACCGGAGGTTCATCCAAGGGTTTTCTAGTATCGCATTGCCATTGACAAAGTTGACCCGGAAAGAAGTAAAGTTTGTGTGGGGTGAGGAATGCCAAAGAAGTTTTGAAGAATTGAAGAAAAAGTTAACGTCAGCCCCAGTGTTAACTATTCCGTGTGGTGGTGAGGGTTTTGTGATTTACACTGATGCTTCACATCAGGGTCTGGGATGTGTTTTGATGCAAAATGGTAAAGTAATTGCCTATGCTTCTAGACAATTGAAGAATCATGAATTGAATTATCCTACACATGATTTGGAGTTAGCTGCTATTGTTTTTGCTTTAAAATTGTGGAGGCATTATCTGTATGGTGAACTTTGTGAAATATTTACAGATCATCAGAGTTTGAAGTATTTGTTTACACAGAAGGATTTAAATTTGAGACAGAGGCGTTGGATGGAGTTAATCAAAGATTATGATTGTAATATCCACCATCATCCTGGAAAAGCCAATGTAGTAGCAGATGCCTTGAGTAGGAAGTCTTCAGGGAGACTATCTTGTGTACAGTGTGCACGGGTGGCAAATATTATGGAATTGAGACTGATGGGAGTTGAATTGACAGTTACTAACAAAGGAGCATTGTTTGCACATGTTACGGTGAGACCTTTGTTGCTGGATAGAATTAAAGAGCTGCAAATACATGACGTATTCCTGGATAAGAAAAGAAAAGAAGCTCAAGAGGGTATGCAAACTGAATTTATAGTTAGGGATGATGGGATTTTGTATTTTAAAAGTCGAATTTGTGTTCCAAATGATGTTTCCTTGAAGAAAGATATTTTAGATGAAGCCCACAGTTCTATATATGCTATGCATCCGGGGAGTACTAAAATGTACAGGGATTTGAAAGAATACTATTGGTGGAACAATATGAAGCGTGAAATTGCAGAATTTGTAGCAAAGTGTTTGATATGTCAACGAGTGAAAGCTGAACATCAGAAACCAGCAGGGTTGTTGCAGCCGTTACCAGTTCCACAGTGGAAATGGGAGCATGTAACCATGGATTTTGTGACGGGACTTCCAAGATCAAAACGAGGACATGACTCTATTTGGGTGATAGTTGATCGATTGACGAAATCAGCTCACTTTCTGGCAGTGAAAACTACTTATTCTACAAAGGAATATGCTCGTTTGTATGTTGATGTGATCATATGTTTGCATGGGGCTCCAGTTTCTATTGTTTGTGACAGAGATCCGAAGTTCACTTCGAGATTTTGGTATAGTTTGCATGAAGCCATGAAAACTTCTCTGAAGTTTAGTACAGCTTTTCACCCGCAGACAGATGGGCAGTCAGAACGAACTATTCAGATTTTGGAAGATATGTTGAGAGCTTGTGTGTTGGATTTCAAAGGTAATTGGGATGATTATTTACCGTTGATTGAATTTGCCTATAATAATAGTTATCAGTCTACTATTGGAATGGCACCGTATGAAGCTTTGTATGGGAGAAAATGTAGAACTCCATTGTGTTGGGATGAGGTGGGGGAAAGAAAGTTATTGGGTCCAGAATTGATTGAACTTACAACAGAAAAAGTGAAGATAATTCAGCAGCGTATGAAAGTGGCACAGGATAGACAGAAAAGTTATGTAGATGTGCGAAAAAGAAGAGATTTGGAATTTGAAGTTGGTGATTTTGTTTTTCTTCGTATTTCTCCTTGGAAAGGTATTATGAGGTTTGGAAAGAAAGGTAAGTTAAGTCCCAGATACATTGGACCTTACAAGATTCTGGAACGAATAGGAGCAGTGGCGTATCGGTTGGAATTACCAAAAGAATTATCAAGATTGCATGATGTTTTCCATGTGTCTATGCTTCGAAAGTATATATCGGATCCATCTCATGTTTTAGTTGCAGAACCGATAGCGTTGAAGGAAGATTTGACTTATGTAGAGGAACCGGTACAGATTGTGGATCGCCGGGAACAAGTGCTACAGAATAAAACTATATCACTGGTAAAAGTATTGGGGAGGGGTCATACGATTGAAGAAGCGACTTGGGAAAGTGAAGAAGTTATGCGAATGCAATATCCTCACTTATTTGGTATGTTTCTTGCATTTTAATTTCGAGGACGAAATTACTTAAGGGGGGAAGAATTGTAAGGCCCCAATACATAATTATTTTTTTATTAGCATAATTTAATTTTTATTAGACATCATTTATGGAATATTTTATGTAGTAGTTTGTATGGTGAAGTTAATAGTTGGTGTCAAAACTTATTAAGTTGGTGACAGCCAATGGTAAGAAAATAAATAATAAAAATGATAATATTCCATGTGTACGTGTGTGTGGTTATATGTGTGATACTAGAGAATGGGTGTCTACTAAGGTCATTGGTGCTGAAGGTAATAAATGGTGGAAGTGGTGTGATGGTTCTAATATATATTGATATACTTATGTTTTATTTTAAAGTTTGACCAAGTAGTTATTTATATATATGGGTAAGTTATTGACCAGGTCAAGTACATATTCCACCCACCCATGTATATAGATATCTAGTAATACACTTTATTCTAAAAGCTTCCAAAGGAGGCTGTTACTAATTGACACACACACGCATGAGTCATGAAGAGGGGAAAATCACATTTATATCTAAGTGACACGTTGTCTAGAGATTTGCATGGACAAGAAAAAGAAAACAAATAATAAAAATACAAATAGAAACAAAGGAGGGATTTTTCAGCCGTAGAAGAAGAAAATATTATTAAACTTTGGGTAACACATGTCACATAAGCTATGTGACAATTTACATTTCCTGGAGACTAGATTTACACCATCCATGTGACTATATACTTTTCAAGACTAAAGTTATTATGCTTTAAAGTGGTGGCTGGTGGCTGCAATATATAGTTGTATATATATATAGGTTTCAATTATCATTTATATGGATAGAGATGAGTAAAGTCAGGTTGCTGGCTGCACAAGGCTGGACCGAACACACAGGACACGCAATTATGTAGATATACTCTATATATAGATAAGGTTAATTCTATCTTTTTAAACCTGTTTGGACCGCCTTTGAGAAAGCCATTGTTTTGGTTGAGACACACAAAATATATCAAAACAGTGAGCTATTTAGTGATAGTTCAAAGAGAGAAGAAAAATACGGAGGAGGAGGATAGAAAAGAAAAAAAGGGGTTTTCTCTCTAAATTGTTGTTGAATTCAAGCAAAGGTGAGGGGTTTTATATTATAATTTCTATGTTGGAAGTTGATTATTCAGTTATTTGAATAATTAATCCAATTAATTGTTCCAGTATATGTATCATCTATTTTTTTTTATATTTTATTTATTTATTCAAAGGCTGTTTTGTGTAAGTGATACCATGGTTATGGTTATTTTCTTTGGGGTCATCAAGCTGGAAATTTATATAAAGACATGTGATTAGAATTTAGCCAAAAGGGTGTATAAAGTTTGAGAATTGTAATTGAGGTGATGATTGTGATTTAATTCTCTTTAGAAAATAAATATAACTTGGTTATATTCTTGTCCAGGCAAGGAGAATGAACTGATCACTTCAGCAATATCAAAGGATAAGTAGACAATTTGAAAAGTAGCCAAGGTGAGTGTACTCACTGGAAGTTTATACCTGGATGTGTTTAATTGAAGTATTGAAGTTGTTTATGTGAGTTGAAGATGAATATATATAATTTGATTATATTTAAATAGGGTCCATACTCTGGCCTGGAAGGAGAGTAATATATTATATAAGGTCCATACTCTGGCCTGGAAAGAGAGTACTACACTAAATAAGGTCCATACTCTGGCCAAGAAAGAGAGTACTATATCTAAACAAGGTCCATACTCTGGCCTAGAAGGAGAGTACTATATTTTAATGCCTGTAATATATTAATGAAGTTTAATTGAAGTTATCAGATAATATTTGTTTATATTACTCTGATGTAGTAGTGTT